TCACTGGATGGTTGGTCAGCACACACAGAGCTGTGGGTTTCCTAGTTTGGTTATTGCTGTACCATGCAGAGATAACACCAAACTCAGATTCTGTTGTTCTAGTTACAGTCAAGATACGAAGATCCAGAAACCAGGACACAAAGGGGAAGATGGTGACAAGATGAGAGTAGGAATCTGCTTAGAAAGCCAAGTATTTTTGTGACAAAGCAAGGTATCAGTAGATAAAGTGTTTGTGGTTCTTCCATACCTGTGTTCTACAAGTCTCTGACAAGGTTGTATTGCTCCAATGGTAACAGGACATGAGATGGATAATAAATGTTTCATGTGTGTTACAGCCTGCCTGGCACAGTCCATGGCAGATCCTACTCTCCAAACATAACTTCCTAGTGTGTATTTCTGGTTTCTTCTTGGAAAGAGTACACAAGGACTCAGTGTTCCAACACGACCTTCACCACAATGAATCACAAGGACTTACCCCCACAGTAGCATCCCAGTTGCCACTGGAAGTCAGTGAAACAGTTTCCACCACAGGTGATCAAACATTGTTCTCTGAGAGGAATGGTTGGATTTGGACACTATCAAACCTCTGCTCCTTCTTTGGGAGATGTGAGCTGAACTTACATGTGCCAGCTACCAGCCCTGGAAACTAAAGTGATTTACTCACATAGCAAGTAGGCAGCACGTGCTGGATCAGTGAAAGGTCCTGCAGAGAGTTGCTCCTGTGGGTCTGCAGCCAGCACAGAGGAACCTCAGTCTCAGGCTCAGCATCCCCATCAGGCTTCAGCTGTTCCACTGAGGCTGTCTACAAGGTGATAGTTACAGCAAGCTCTAGTATTGCTACACACACACACCTTCTCCCAACCACACAAGTGTGAAAATCCTACCCACATGTACAGGTGAGTGCACATAGTTCTTCCCACAGCCGAAAGATGAGACCAGTTTTGGTCACCTCTAAGGATGCCAGGCTAAATTTTAGTTGTCTGTGTACAATGGGTCACTCTCTGCTCTACAGCAAGCAGTGTGCTCCTCTGCATGAGCTCCCAGAATCATCCCTTCAAGGTAACCCAAAGCATTTTACTGCTGCTCTAAATCTGATCCATTAGTGTTCATGTCTAAGAACCACAGGAGGACCAAAGCTGCCTCAGAATGACTGAGGATAAAATGCTGAGTTTGGACAGTCACTTCAGGTGATCTTTATTTTAATATTCTGTGGATTAGGAGTTTTTTTTAAACCAATGTGCACACTGCTAAAAGTCAGACTGTCTCAATGACATCATGCAGATTTGCTTTTCTGCACAGTTTTTGGATCCTCACACATACCAAGCTCCAGCATTTCATCAAGGAGACATATCTGCAGGCAATGTGACAGCTGCTTCCTGGCTCTTGGAGCCTGCAACGCTTTATTTGGGTCATGCAGAGTATCTTTCCTTCCCCTTGAAGCAGGTAAAATGTCTGCTCAGTTCTGACAGTGACAGATAGTACCACTAAAGTGAAGCTATTTTAGAAGGACAATTGTAAATGAAGAACTTTCCACAGCACATTTCTAATCAGCTACAGGCAGTGCTGCTCGAGCAAAGGGAAGGTAAATTCAGCTCTGAGTTGGCACCACTGTAACTTCTCTGATCCTAATGTGGGTCACTGCAGCCTGAGAAGGGAGTGCAGCCTCACTACATTCCACCCACAGAAGCAACATAACACAGAGGAAAACTTCCCTTGCCCAAAAAACTGGAGCTGGGATTACCTCCATGTTGCTGCCTTTGTGGATGCAAAACTGCAGTAGTAATGCAGCCTTCAGGCCTTTTGCTACTCCT